TTCTTTTTACTTGTTAACATTCCCTCGATGCATTTACTTCACCCCTTTAATCTGTGTGAGCGGCCTTGCCTTCCATTTTAATGCCATTCATCCTGGACTCAACTACTCTGTGACAGGGGCTAGCTCAATCAGGTCAAGGCTGGAGGGTCTGTTTGATCATAGAGTAGCACTCCACAGTTTCTGGTTAAATTGAATCTCATGAGATTGTTAGTCACCAGTTAGTATCCTGTTTCCTTGGTTATGTAGTGCTAGTGCTCTATACAGAGAGTGCATGCACGTATTGCCTATTGCTGGCCTTCCACATAAACAGTGTGAGTCAGTCTTTAGTGCCTCGTGGTGTTAACTTGACATCAGTGATGTGGCCTGGACTCAAGTTTTTCCCCAGAATTTCCCCTCTCAGATTTTTTTGTCTCTGGACGACCCCCAAGCAAAGTGCTTGGGATATTTCTCAAATTTGATTGATATAAGGTGATGACTGTGGGGATGTGGCAATAAACAAATGTGTTGATTGGTCACTTTGTGACTTGTTTATGAAATCGAAGCTAGTTGAACATGGAGCGGATTAAAGAAAATGTAGTGCATATTCAGCGCAACTTGTTTTATGCAAATAAACAATACAAATAAGTTATAGATGTGCTTGTTTTTTATTTAAGGTGAAGAAAAGGTGGTAGTTTGTTCGCAGAAAATACTTTCATCAACATATGCATGAGGGTGCTTGTGCAAAAAATCAATCTTCCAAAATTCACTCACCAATGTTTGAAGAAATTTTGACCACTACTATTGTCCAAACAAGTTGCTCATTGTGAAAAAAGAATATGAAGTGGAAGCTACTCTACGAAAATTTAGAAAAGTGTGGTACATTTATTGTACAAGAGGCAATGGAGACACTCCTGTGAAGCCTTGAATGACATCATGCTTGGCTCATGAATATTGAGATCTTCATTGGCATGAAATCCAAAATGTCGACGCTTCTCCCTTTTACTGCAAAAAGGAAGTGAAATGTCGTAACATGTAAATAAAGCTGTGCTTCATGTACTCAACTCATAACAGTCCTGCCCCATATGGAGGTGAAGGAATTTTTTTTCTGAGAGTCCACTACACCCCTTCAGAACTGCCCTCTTTAACTAGGCTATGTTCAGAGTTTTTTTTTTATAATACAGAAATTAGACTGTGAGATAGTCAGTTGAAAATGCTCAGCATTTGTTGAAAGTTGAGCCTGCTGCAAAGTGCTTATTAGCTGGAATGCCCTGGAATGGATCAGTGCTATTATGAAGATAATATGAAAATGAAGATGTTAGACTTTCATATAACTTCTAGCACTGCTTTGATTTCCTTCAAATGGTTTTCATCCAAGATTCCCTTGGTGCTCCAAATCAGGCAATGTGAAAGTGGACATGATAGTCAGACAATGTTAAGTTGAACAGGCCACATCAACAAAGTTGATTAGAATGTCATGGATTAACTTTGACATTGACACTCTGGTTCCAAGTCACAGGATGCCATGGGTTTATTAGCTTCTACTCACTTGGATAAAAAAGACAAGAGCTAAAAACCAGGGTGAAAACAGAGTCTGGACCCTATGCTTAGCTAGGGGCCTCAGTTTGGTAAGCATGATAAACCATAGATAAACAGAAACTTGCTGCTCAACCAAAACAGTTTCAGTCATGATTTCTGAGCTGTGGCAGTGTAGTTTTGCTGAAATGAAGCATGTTTGTAGTGTTTTGATAAGTCTCTAAGTGGGATTGTGATATTGAAATGTAGTAACTTTGTGAAATTATAGACTGGCAATGTTTGTTTTGTCACTTTATAACCTGGATATCTACACTTCCTCAGCAAGAAAAACCTCTCAGGGTTTTTCAGCTTTCCCTTTTCACATAAATCAAGTCGCAGTAGTCGCAGGATAGTAGATATACTGCTGGCTTTCCCGGGGTTTCGTAATACATGTACTTTCGATTTCCCGCTGCCTCATCAACAGATTTGTTCCTCATAGCCTACAAAATAAAATACCCTCTTTCTGCTCAATCAGAAATAAATTGCACACACCAGGTGCAGCATTGCTCCCCTACTGAAGTAAAAAAGAGAGGAATAATAAAACTAAAATTCCCCTGTCACCTCCTGAATTCATATGTGAGGCCTTATGGAGCTTACGTCATCACTGAAAAATGTCGCATTCAAAAGCCCGTACCCATGCCTGGGTGACTTCACAAGCAAAGTAGAGCCCAAGCCTACTCAGGGGCATTCAATATTGCCATTGTGGAGTCCACTTTTGTGACAACTGGAGAAAGAAAACGGTCTACGTGCATTTCTATAATAGCAAGCCTGCTGCTCTGGTATAGTTGTGGATGGTGGGGTACAGCTCATCACACTGTCAGAGCTTCAGAGGGTATACTGCCGCCAATGTTTGCCATTTGACCAAAAGGAAAAGAAATCTTGCAACAGATGACACACAAAACTCCCATGAAGTTGCAGGTTCTCTCATTTTTCGCTGCCCCGTATGGAGGAATTTGTCATTATGTGTGCTCAAGATCCCTTACATGAAGTGTCAGTAATATCATGATTTGGTCAATTGTAATCAAAAGCCTTCTATAGCATGCAGGAAACGGGTCTTTGAAGAAGCACATGTATATTTTGAAACTTTATTGCCTATAAACACTTTGTTGCAGGTAAAGAACAGCTTGGTTTCATTGTGACGTGTCACTTTTTACAATTAGCAAAGAGAGTCCTGGTCAAAAATTTGGATACTCACAATCTTTGTAAATTGGGTACCAATGCATTGTTTGGCCTGCCCATTATGCCTACAGAACCACACTCAAACTGAAATACAAAACTTTAAAGGTTTTACATCACTTTTGTCTGTGCTCCTTAGAGAAAGCAAATCACTGATTCTTTACCCTTGAAGTGAGCCACCAGAAAGAAAAGTGACATGCTTTATTAAGCACAATGTGCCTTTCATCCTAAGCACTTTTTACCGTCAGGAGAATCCTTCCAAATGGCATCAACCGAACTGTTGAGTGGCGAGGTTGTTTGTTTCTTGGCAGTCCCAAGGAAAGGACATGAGTGCGCGCGCGTCAACACCCTGGAAGAAGTTATTGGAGAGAAGAGAGGGGAAACAAACCTTGCTAGTTATTTGGTAGCTTGACAATGCGAGGTCGTTTGGTTTACACATAAGGTAAAGAGAGGTTGGATCAAAAATGTTGACCCATCTTTGTCTTCTCCTTTTGTTGTATTGTGCAGGATTCTGGAGAATCAAGGAGAGTGGGCTTGGAAGATGATGTGCTGGACATAGCAATGGAATGTGTGGGAGAAGTCCACTGTGCGTGACATGATGGCACAGGAGATGTACATGTACAACGTACTTGAGCAACAGGTGGAAGACACCCCTGTACATCTGATACCGGTATACTTACCCATGTTCGCATTTGGAACGGTCATAAGACTCCTTGTAGCATATGGTGGCAGTGGTGGGTACCATTAACCAAAAGGGTCTGGTGAGATTTGGGAACAGCTACGAGGGACGAGACTGTCTTTTTGATTTAGGATAATGTTTCAATCCGAAAATCTCAAAAAGCCTGAATTTACTCAGATGCAACAAACAAACAACAGTACACTGACATAAAGAGCATAGAAACAATTTGATTTAATAATGAGAATATTGAACATACTATTGAAGTATTAGTTGAAAAGTGATTTGCATATTGTACATGTACAGTTCTGTTCAAATGAAATAAAAAGAAGAATTCAAAATTTGAAATAGAATATGTATCCATTTGACCCCCTTCCCACATGTAACTCAGGTCACCGGTCCGCACCCTTGACCTGTCAGATAAAACCAGTGCCTTTAGTTTTAGAGACAGGACCACTGTCAATTTTACATTTATTTGTAAGTGGAGTTTTCCCACAATTTCATTGGAATATCAGTGGACAGCTTCATTGTTGCAAATGCATTTCCCAAAACACATTCTCAGACAACCCGTTTTTACAGACACAGTTCCCAAATATTTTCAGAGGAATTTCTGTTACCAAGGCAAAAACGACATAGATTTTGGAAAAGCAGTTCCAAAACACTTTCAGGAAAATTTTTATTCAACCAAGCTTATTTTTGCTGATGTATTTCCCAAATAAATTCAGGGATATTTCCGTCACGTCAAAGAAAAGGTCATTCAGAAACCTGATCAACGGATGAAACAAATCCAAAATTCAGACAGAATTACTTTCCTATTTCCACATGGTTTTTCACTAAGCCAGGCCATGCAGACCTTTCACTGGTGGGGTTAAGCCATTTCTGCACTCAGTAATTGTAGTTGAAATATAACACTCTTATATTGACAAGCAATAAAGTGGTCGGGCCAAATTGTTGTAGACTTTTATACCAGGGGTTATCTGTCTTTGGTGTTCTTCCATTTTCAACCAATATGTTCAATATCGACATTTATTTTTCAGCAGTAATTACCCATAGCAAACTGAAATTTTGTTTAGATCACAGAAGATCATCCGCCTCTTTTTGCTAGACATACATGTATTCCTCAAACGTCATGTTTATAAACACTGTCTCACCTTGTTTCTCGTAGTCATACCATGCATTTTAGCAAATAAAGTGAACATCACTTATACAGGGGTTTAGTCAAGCATTTTGAAACGTTTATTGAAAATTTTTTCATTCAGAGTTGCTTGTTTGTAATTTTTTCGTGGAATATTACTGAGCCTTGCATTTTGAGAAGCTTTTATGAACAGTTTAAGTATATTTATATAACGGTTTTGCCCTTACCCAACGTATATAGGCCTACTGATAAACACTTTATGCTCAGTGCTTGTCCGAGAGCTTGCGAAAAAATTCACAAGCTTACTCGGGTGGGACCCGAACCCATGACCTCCTGCTTACTAGTGCAGACTAGTAAGGTTGTGGTCGTGGGTTCGAGTCCCACCTGAGTAAGCTTGTGCATTTTTTCGCAAGCTCTCGGACAAGCACTGAGCATACACTGTTTTTCAGTGTATACGTTGGGTAAGGGCAAAACCCGTTGTATAAATTAACATCTCCCCAACGCAAAAATACATCTTGAAAACATTTTAGTAGTTTAGGGTAGGATTTTTGCCTGTTGTTATTGCCATAGACCTCAAAGTCACAGGTAATTTGTGGCCCACTACTCTAAACCCGGGCTGATGAATTACCCGCAAAAGTGATTCCAAAATATACAACGGCTGTGGAACAATTTTTTTTGGGGGGGGAGGCAGTTATAAGATCCTCAGGCATCACCCATTAATAGGCCGATCCATTATTATAGGACCTGTAAAAAGTGGAGGCCATGACCCCACCAGTCGAAAAAAGTCCCCTCCCCCCGCTTCCGCCACCAGTTTCAATATGCACACAAACAACGCGAACTCCACATCTTTCTGCAAAGGTTTTTCCTCTTGGACCGCGCTGAAGTATGAACGAAAACAGTGTCGGAGTGGGATCAATATCACCTACATGAACGTGTTTTGAGGGGTTTTGGTCATTAGCTTCCTGAAAAGTGAACTTGAAATACGACCGCGTTGTGGCTGGTAGATTGGCACACACGTTCATGGGTAACAGTTGGACACTTTAGCCAATAGCTAAGGATAGGATGGGATAGGAGTATGTGTTATTCTTAGACGAAGCCGCGTAATTCGGGTGTCGTCCCACACAGTTGTACCTCCTTCCTCCATGGTTGTACATGTAGTGATATTCAAGTTTGGACCTCGGGTGGAGCAGTCCATTTTAAGGCCGAGGGGTCCTGTTAAGGCCGAGGGGTTGAACCGCAAGATTTGGGAAATCCTTTGCGGAAAAAAAAAACACAAGGCAGCTTCGAGCTGGGACGGTTACTTGCTATCTCTAAGTTGTGAAGCAGTCCGTCAGTAGTCAGCTGAAATTTGTTGTCCAAATAGCGAAGAATTTTGGGAGGTATTCATCCATGGTCACAGTTCCTTGGTCGTTATCGAAATTATAAATTTATCAATTAAATCATCACTGAAAATTCATCAAAATTACCGTTGGCCATAGGCCTATCGAGTTAGTGATTTATACATTTTTTTGCTTGAAACTAGTCTGAATTCGAATTTGGTTCACCTTTCAAGCCACTGAGGACAGAGTAGACTGTAACGCTAGTTATAACAGAAATTCAAAAGTTTACTGCCAAAAGTTGAACCTCTTTAAGCTGTGCAAGTGCTTTGGTCACATTCCCTGACTCGTAACTTGCATTTGACCTTGTTGGTCGCTTCATCACTGTTTCAATTCTGAACGCAAGTCCCGTGAAAATTGGTAAATTTCCAAGGGCGACTTTGCCAGATCATGTCAACAACCGGTAGTTGGAAATCACATCAGCGAGTCTCGCGTTTGGTCAACGCCGTCAATGCTAATCGGACGATGACTCGTGGCCAGGGCGTACGCCACCCGGCTCACGTAACACTGAATCAGTGGGACTTCGGGTCACGGACGCTGTGCGCTCGGTTCCGAGAAATTGGTGACGTCATTGAAGTTCTGTGACGCGTTCTTGAATGGGGACTAATGAATATCGAATCGACACGAATCGCAGAGCGTTGTGGTGACCCCATTATTATGACTTCGGATCGAACATCTGAGACGATTAAGCGCCGATCTTGAGACTGTAAGTTGTTGATTGGTGTTAAAACTACTACACACCGCAAAAAACGCAAATGTTAATGAGGTTTTTTTCCAAAGTTGTGAATTTGTAATCTGCGTGACACTGCAGTAGTACTGATGCCAAGCGTCCACCTTAAAGCTGATGTTTGGCGTCGGTACAAAACGACATTGTACTTTAATTTATCAAAAGTAAACAAGTTAAAGGCTGTGGTAATTTTGTTGTGTCTGTATGATGCCATGATCACTACAAATCCTCAGTTGATGCTTAATAATGCTTTCGCTTTTTGAACCAAGTAGCGTTGGTCCTGATTTCGTAAGTCCTTCTGAAAACGCTTTTTTTGCAGGCCATCTTGCAAGCCAGAGTGGCTTGAATAATTGAGAACCAGATTATTTCGCCATTGGTTTTAATGTTGGCAAGGTGACGGTTGCTAGGATACTTTGTAGTGAGGTATCCTGAACTCAACAGGTATAGCTTTCATTTCCTCTGTCTTTCATTACTGCTGTCAAATCACTCCAACATCATCAGGGTGCCTTTATGCGTGGGAGCAATGATCCTACGATGTAATAAGGGGAAGCGCGTGTCAATTGCCCCCCCCCCGCATTACAGGGGCCCCTCGCACTGCCCCCGCTTTCCTTGCAGTAAAAGTGCTGTCGCCCCCACAGACACATCTGGTTCCTGACTGCATCAGCATTTGCTGTTGTAACTGTAAGACATGTTTTATGAGTCGTGCGGATCACGATACGCCCGACGTCCAATTCAGTTAAACTCTATCTCTTCGAAGGTGCACTTTGCAAAGTTGATGATTTCGTCGTGTTTGTTTTGTTCCAAGCATGTCGACGGAAGTTGTTGAATGCTTGTCATAAGAATGACGACTATTCTCCTATAATGATGCCACCAATTGCTCCAGAAATACCCTTGTTACTTTAAATTCAGGGCGGAATGTAAGCGCACTCGGCCTTGCAGGTTTGACGTGTTTGTAGTGCGAAATAACAGCAACTGACATTGTTACAACCTCACAATGCCCTTTTGAATACAGAATAATCGGTGGCATCTTCCCCCCCCCCCCCGG